TATATTCTACTATCTATCTATAATACAAATTCGCACTTCGACTCACGCCGCATATATTTATATTCTACTATCTATCTATAATCTATAATACAAATTCGCACTTCGACTCACGCCGCATATATTTATATTCTACTATCTATCTATAATACAAATTCGCACTTCGACTCACGCCGCATATATTTATATTCTACTATCTATCTATAATCTATAATACAAATTCGCACTTCGACTCACGCCGCATATATTTATATTCTACTATCTATCTATAATACAAATTCGCACTTCGACTCACGCCGCATATATTTATATTCTACTATCTATCTCTATACAAATCCGCACTTCGACTCCCGCTGCATATGTTTATACTTTACTAGCTTACGCCTCATGTATACTATGTATACTTTTTTTTTTACTATATACAAATTTCACTTCAACTCGCTTGCATGTATACTAATTTCGACCACGTCACATTTAGACTCCAGTTTTTTTAAATCGGTGAAATCGATGAAATTAATTTGATCAGTAGATTTGCATACACTATCATGTCAACACGTAACGAAAAATAGTCTACAGTACAATATAAATAGTTAAAATCAGCTAATCGCTCGCCAAATCAAAATTTATGTATTAAACAATATTGATTATATCAACCAATAAAAATTAAATGATCATTAGGCCTTTAATAGACAAAAAAATTACGCGTATTAATAAATTATTATATATGATATTTATACGTTTAACTATTAATACTGGACTAAATAATTATCTTGAATTCCGGCGAATTGATTTTCAAACTCAAAAAAATTCATTCGACCATTCTATTTCTTTAATAATAATAAAGTTTCACATTAATCTATAGTAAAATAATAAAGTTTTGCGTTAATCTTATTAAAAAAGTTAAAAATGACGTTATACTGTATATGAACAGGCTAATCAAAAAAGTTAAAAATGACGTTATACATGAACAAGTTAATAGACACAAATATCAAATAACCTCTAATACATAGTCTTTTTCTTCAAACAAATCATTTGCTTTCGGATGAATGTAATACAAACATCAGAGACACCAAGAGAGCGTCGAAACCGCCTTTCCAGAAATGCACGTACATGCCGAAGATTAACACTCACAGTTGAGCAACTTGAGCAGCAACGCACTCAGCAACGTGAAAAATATAGACGCCGTACTGAGGCTGAAACAGAAGAACATGCTGAACGGCGACGAATAACTCGACGTGAAGCTTATAGGCATCATGTCCAACAAAGACAGACTAATACCTTTGCATCTAATGCTGCCCGTATGCAGGAATATGATACAGGCACTGTCATTTGTCACAAGCTGGGAGAAATGAATGTAGAGTGTTCACAATGTCAAGCACTACACTGGATAGAAGAAAAGGTGGCTGGAAGTATACGTGCTCCTATTTTTGGTATGTGCTGTGCAAAAGGTAAGGTGAAGTTGCCACCTATTGGTCAGCCACCTGTGCCTCTACTTAATCTTCTCATAGACGAAGATAGTCGATCACGTGAGTTCCGAATAAATATTCGAAAATATAATTCAATATTAGCATTTACCTCAATGGGTGCCAAAATCGATAAACATGTAGTTGGAACACGGGGGGTTTACAGTTTTCGTATTCAAGGTGAAATGTATCATCAGATAGGTTCACTATTACCAGATGATGGCGCGAGACCTGCATTTTCCCAGATTTATATCTATGATACTGACAAACAACTAATTAATAGACAGCACATAATGCCAGACCTAGATCCAATTACACTCGAGCAGCTTCAAGCAATGCTAAATGAAGTCAATCCATATGTTCATGTATTCCAACAAGCAGCACACATTTTGCAAGAAAATTTCACTCAGGACTTAAATTTAGTTATAATAAAGGCACGCAGTGAACAACAATATACTGTACCTGTCGCATCAGAAATTGCTATTCTTATGGTGGGAGATGGTCAAGAATTTGAACCATCTAATCGAGATATTGTGCTTCGCATACAGGGTGGTGGTTTGCAACGCATTTCACAAACCCACCAGTTCTATAGTCCATTACATTATGTGCTGCTGTTTCCACGTGGAGAACCTGGATGGCATTCTAATATTCCTATATGCAATACAACACAAGTAAATAGTAATGATACTGAAAATGAAGATCTTCAAGATGAAGACACTAAATTACGTCGCGTTACAATGATGCAATACTATTCTTATCATTTACAAATAAGACAACTGGAATCATTTGTGTTGCATAGAAGTGGCCGTCTTTTTCAACAATATATAGTTGATGCATATGTCTGTATTGAGCAGAACCGGCTTAATTACTTAAATGTAATCAAAAACAAATTCGTGCTGAATTGTATAGTGGATTACAAGATGCCCTCTCTGTTCGTGATGAGCTGCCTCAAAACGGATCACGTATTGGTTATCGAATTGTACTTCCATCCAGCTTTATTGGTGGACCACGCCATATGCAGCAACTGTATCAGAATGCAATGACTACCGTTGGGCAAATGGGTAAACCAGATCTCTTTATTACAATGACGTGCAATCCAAACTGGCCAGAAATTTTAACAGCCATATTACCTGGACAGCAGCCACAAGATCGACCTGATATTTGTGCTCGCGTATTTCATATTAAATTACAAGCTTTGCTTAAAGATATTTCCCAGAATGGTATTTTTGGCAAACCGTTAACATATATTTATATTATTGAGTCACAAATGCGTGGTCTTCTTCATGCACATATGTTGATTATATTGTTTCCTAATCATAAGCCACATATAACAGAAGACTATAATCGTATTATATCAGCAGAAATACCAAATTCTCACATATATCCGGATGAATATGTAACTGTAGCGAAATGTATGATGCATGGGCCTTGCGGAATATATAATATGCATGCACCCTGCATGCAAGAAAAAAAATGTTCAAAAGGATATCCAAAAACTTTTCAACCAGTAACTATTCAGAATGAGGATTCTTATCCTATATATCGTCAGCGTAATAATGGTCATACAGTTGAGGTAAAAGGCGTTCAGCTTGATAATTACTGGGTCGTGCCACATAATTTGTATCTTTGTAAGAAATTTAATTGCCACATCAATGTTGAAATATGTTCTTCGATACAAGCAATTAAGTATCTATTTAAATATGTCTATAAAGGACATGACCGTGCAACTGCAATACTCAATAGCAATAGAGATACATCAGAAGTAATAGATGAAATTCGCCAGTATATTGATGTCCGCTATATATCAGCATCAGAATCAGTATGACATATTATGTATTATAAAATACATGATGAAACTCCAAATGTTATACGTTTGGTTGTACATCTTCCCGGTCAACATTTAGTTACATTTTCTGATAACGAATCTCTTGATATTGTTGTTCAACAAGCACAAAACCAGAGAACTACTTTAACAGCATGGTTTGATGCAAATTGTGATCCAAATCTATATCAATTGACAAAAGAACTGACATATATACAATTTCCCCGCAATTTTGTCTTTGACAAGTGTATAAAAAAATGAAAACCACGTGTTCGTGGTCATACAATTGGTCGAATGTATTTTGTACATCCTGGAGCCGGAGAGCGTTATTATTTACGTATGTTACTTAATGTTGTATGTGGCGCACAGTCTTTTGAACATCTGCGTTCTGTAAATGAAGTGATTTATCCAACTTTCAAAAGCACATGTCAAGCATTAGGCCTTCTACAGAATGATATGGAATGGGATCAATGCCTTGAAGAAGCATTAGTGATACAGTCAGGACATCAACTGCGACAACTGTTTGCTATAATTTTAATAAATTGTTGTCCAACTCAACCTGAACGACTCTGGGAAAAATATAAACATAATTTAAGTGATGATATATTATATCAAGTACAACAAGAACTACAAAATTCAAATTTTCAATTAGCTCAACAAAATATTGAAAATTATGCCTTACATAAATTAGAAAATATACTTATGCAACAAGGCAAAATGTTAAAAGATTTTTCTAATATGCCAATTCCTAATACCACATATAATCTTACAAACCGCTTGCTATGTGAGGAACTAAATTATAGTCAACCCGAACTTAATGAATTTCTTAATCAGAATATTTCACGACTTAATAAAGATCAACAAAATATATATTATGAAGTTATGAAAGTAATCGAACAAAATAATTCTGCTTGCTTTTTTGTTGATGGACCAGCAGGAACTGGCAAAACATTTCTTTATGCAATTTTATTGGCAAAAGTACACTCAGAAAAAAAAATTGCTCTTGCTGTTGTCTCCTCTGGAATTTCAGCATTGTTACTTAATGGTGGTAGAATAGCACATTCCCGTTTCAAAATTCCAATTGAATTAAATGAAAATTCCACCTGCAACATATCGACACAATCAGAATTGGCAGAACTTCTAAGACAAACTGTTTTAATTGTTTGGGATGAAGCACCTATGCTACATCGTCATGCCTTTGAAGCTCTTGATCGAACTCTTTGTGACATAATGAGTACAATTGATCCACAATTAGAGAATAAACCATTTGGAGGAAAGGTTGTAATTTTAGGTGGAGATTTTAGACAGATTCTTCCTGTTATTCCAAATGGTGGACGAGAAAATATTGTTAATACCTATCTTTGTCAATCTTATTTGTGGCAACATATAAAAATAAGAAAATTAACAATCAATATGCGTTTACACAAGATATCTGATATTTCTGATACAATGGCACAAACAGAATTTGCTGATTGGTTACTTAAGATTGGTGAAGGACGTATTCCAGAAGTTCAACCTAATAGCAATTATATAAATTTACCATCTAATATTGTTCTTCAATCTGAAACATATCAAGATTTAATTAAATTTGTATATCCCAACTTACAAAAGAATACTCAAGATTTTATATATTTGACAAAAAGAAGCATTCTTACTCCACGTAATGTTGATGTTGATGCACTTAATGCTGAAATTCTTGCACAATTTCCAGGAGAAGAAAAAACTTATTATAGTGCAGATACTTTGGACCGAAATTCAGAAATGTATGATTCAACTCAAGAGAATCTATACTCTATTGAATTTTTAAATTCATTAAAGTTTAGTGGAT